CTTAAAATATTTTAGCATCATCAAGGCACAAAATGTCTATTAGAAAAATTAAAAAGTCACAGAGCTGGAAAGAACTTTGATATATGATTTGATTTAGCCTTTGCCTATAAAGAGTTGAATTTAGCTAACAAGTATTAAAACTGATGACCTGTGGACACTGGGCCATACTTGAACTTTTGGGATATATACAAAGTGATAAGACAACTCCTTCACCTCAGAGGAGTTTACAGTCCAATGATATGTTTCTCAAAGGGCATCAGTAGCACTCGAGGGAGAAGGTCTGAATGTAATAATGAACATTTCCAGGTTCCTGGGACGGGACCCAGGAATCTGCAATTTAAAAAGCATGCCAGGTAATTCTTACGCACAATTGAGAGCCACTGCTCCACTAGGTGTGAGAGATATGCACAAAGCAGTATCAGTCAGAGCAGTGCTGAGCATGTGTTAATAGGGGCTTGTCTTCTAGGGACATAAAAAAATGTGATCAGCATCTTCCCTCATTAATATCTAATGATATTTAACAGAAAACTAAGTCATCTCTTAGTCTCACCCAGTCATTCTAAATTATATTGACCACTAAATTAGATTGCGAGTTATCAATTTTATAATTAGAAACCTTAGTGCAGAAATCTAAAATCTCTAGAGATATACCATTCTCCCTAAAATGCCTAATTCACTTGACATTTAGTTTGGTTTCATTTGGCTCATGAACTACACATTTTGGCTTGTCTTCTTCCCATGACAGTAATGTTAATAAAGAATAGAAATTTTCATAATTTCTTTCCTTTTACAAAAAAAAAAACTAGTAAACATAAAGAAAAGTTAAATTCAGAAACAGGTGAGATATTTGGACTTTAAGAAAGTAAGCTCCTAGAATTAATAGAATTAATTGGCACACACAAATTCTATATAAGCCCTAGTACTTTGTGTACAGAAAAATCACCTGGCAAGTGGCTATCAATGCAGATTACAGAAGAGTCTGACTTGGTGGAAGATGGGTAACTGAATTTTTTACAAGCACATCAGTTGATTCTGATGTGAATAGTTTTGAGAGAACATTTCAGGGATGTCAAGATTTTAAGGACCCAAGCTTATATCTAAATCTTTCTTTGAATCTAAATCAATATATTAAACACAGTAGAATGTTGATACACATATATTTAATTAAAGTGATCACAAAAGAATAAATAGGGAAACTCAGTTCATCTAATCGCAGCCCACATTCTACAAGTCAGAGCTAGAGGATCTTGCTAAAATCATAAATTACTGTCCTCATGAATTAGGAGCCACATGCAGTAAAAAAGCAACTTAATATAGGCATTTGCTGTTGGTCCTTTTCAAGGGCATATAAAGCATTCTAATTTTTTACTTTTAAAATTAGAAATATGTTGAATGATATGTGTGAGTCAAGGGGAACAGTAGACTAAGGGTGGGGTAAATGAGCAATATTCTCTGGCCAACAGCAATAATCAGAGAAATATAATTCTGAAGACCATATAATATAAAACCAAATGGGTTTGATCATTCCTGATGTTAGGATTGTAATTTTCCCATTTCCACAGAAATTAATTGTGGACAAATATTATGGTATTATCTAAATACTATAACTCACTAAGAACGGGGATGGATGTTCGACAACCTCACTTACTTTGAGGAAACCAGGATACAATTGGGTTCTAGGGTTGTGGGCTTTCTGTGAGTCTAGGAAGCATGCTTTATATATTTGTATAACATGTTATTCTCACATGTCCACAAACCTATAAAAGGAGACCTGGCATATTCCTTAATGACTGCATGACCTTGAGTAAGTTATTCAATTCCTCAGAGGCTCAGTTTTTTCAGCTGTAAAATGGGTACCCAGGTGGATCTGGATTCATGGTCCAGGCTCCTCCCACTCAGCCATGGGCTCCCCACACCACACTGCCTGAGGTTTATGTTGAGAGGATCACATGAGATCATTTTCATAAAAGTGCTCTGTAAGCTGTAAAGCACTATACAGATGAAGCGGATTATTATTAGTCTTTTAGGAAGCCCAGCTATAAAGATGCAAAGTGACCCAGAAAAAGAAGGCAGGGTTGGCAAACCTGAAAAACAACATTTATGTTGCCTAGAACATTACCCCATATGTAGTAGGTAGGTGCTTAGTAAGTACTGAGTGAATAAAGGAAAACATAAAACACAGATTCGTGCCTCCACCATACTAGGTTTGATACCAAGAAGGAATAGATATACCTAAAATCAAGGGTAATTCCATCCAACCACACAAACCACAATGCCTCAACAGCCTAAGATCTTAAATTAAAAATTACTTGCTATGAAAGAGCATTAAAATGTAAAATATAACCCACCATCGGCAAAGAAACAGTATAGTCTTACCTCTTCGGTCTTTCAGATGCAGTCTTGTAGGGAGAGCAGAATCTTGTTGAAGTTGCTGATTTTTTCCCCCTGTATCTGATAGATCTGTCTGATCATCTTAGCAAACTTACGAGGCAATAACCCCTTCTATAGAATGTTGGGTACCCAGCTCTCTTTTGTATCTGGAAGCTTGATTTTTGGGGACACCCTGACTTTAAGCAAACCAGGTTTATTCTCCAACACACACAAAAGGAGACTGGAAGGTGGGTTGGGGGGAAGGTGGGAAAAAAAGTTATTTACTTTATAAAACAAATCTTTATAAGAGTTCTTTGGCAGTTTCCTAGAATACGTAAAATGTGGTTCAAATTTAAATATTCAATTTACATTACATACTACTTTTGACATAGACAGCTATTTGTAGAATGAGGCAAACACATACTGGGAAATAAATTTTAAAATTCAGGGGAAAAATGTTTTCTTCTGGGTAGGCCTGAACTGCTTTTTTTCCTCCATTGCAAATGTATTTTTATATTGGATAACATTTCCAAAACAGGGTTTTTTTTTTCCTATTGTTGAAACGAAGCAAACAAGTTTGCTTTCAGAGTCGCAGAAATGCCCAACTGTTTGAAAAAACGTTTTGCACTGGCCGCCTGCCTCTCCTGTCCCCAAGCAACCTTTCTTATTGGCCCTTTCTCTGGGAGGGCCCCTGGGGTTGTCTGGTGGAACTGACTGTAAAACCTTTTTATGCAGTAAGAACTAGTTTTTTAAATATCTGAGACCACCCAGAACGTGCCCGATGGTGTTTGGCAAATGGGTTTCCTCAGTAAACTAACTGACCCGCGTTTCTAGGTCCTTATTTGAAAAAGAAATGAGGGGAAATGTTTTACAAAATGAGGACATCTATTCGAAATTCATGTTATGAATTTGTGTTTGGGGAAGGAGGGCAAGAGAATTCAGTGCAAAGACCCCAACCAAGCTAAACCATCAAAAATGAGCAAAAACGCTTAAACTCTGCGTTGAGGGAATATTTGCTACAAGTTCAGTCGCAGGAAAACCTGGCCCTCTCCTCCGAAAGCCTCCCGGGTGGGAACAGCCTCCTGCGCTGACACCTCGGGCTGGGAACCTAGGAGCGGGGTCCGCGGTGGCAAAGGGATGCAGAGGCGCCTGGGGAACAGGCCCTGGCTTTGTCTCATCCTGCCGTGTCCCTCTCTCCTCACAGCCATACTAGGTGCTCAATAAATGTTTGTGGGATGCAGGAAGCGAAAAATCCGAATCTGCCCCTCACGCCTCAGAGGCGAATTATCGGGAACGCAGGTTTCCTCAGACCCACTGTCTCCTCACGTTGGCTGAGGTCACTCGGTCTCGGCTGCTACGGCCCCAGCAGCAGGAGAGCAACCGAGAAGGCGAGCCGCTGGAGCCAAGATGGAGAGGAAGCCGGAGAGGAAGAGAGGCGGCGCGGGGCGCGAGCCGGGGTGCCCACCAGACCGCCGCGCGGGCCCCGCGTTCCCACTGACAAGGAGGCCAGAG